TTATGATAAGAAATGCAACACAGTCTCAGCAGTGAAAATACATCTATGTCTTGGCCAGAAGAAATCACACCCTTCAGGGAACACATTGCAACTCAGAAGTGTTTCCAACTGTTTTCCACGAAGCTGTGCGATGATCTGCTAGAGGCAGGTTGAAGAGCACTTCCTGGGAGAGGCCTCAGGAGGAGAGATTAGGATCCGGCCAAAGAGTCTGGAGGCGAGCTGTATTTCCTGGGCTCTGGTTTCCTGTTCCGCTCTCACCACTCTGTGATCAGAAATACTCCTACTCTAGGGAGGAGTTGAGGCCTCCGTATGAGAGAACATATGAAACCTGAAACTGAGCAAGACCCCTTTTCTGACCTAGACTTTCAGGCTGCTTCAGCGGTGGCAGGCTTTGCTCCATTCACCCATGAGCTGTCAAATCAGAAAAGAAAACTGGCTGGAAGGGCAATCTGTGCCTTGTGTTTTCCACTGCTACTGAATTTTAGAAAAGTAACCACCTGTTGACACAGACTTTATTCAAACCCCACGTGTCTTTTTATTATCGCAAGTTTGAAGTACGTAGCCTCAGTTGATATGCTTACAAAATTTTTTATTTGAAGATGAAAAGAAAAATGTTCCAGAGGCCAGGTCTTCTCTGAAGTAAGGTATGAAACTGTCAAGTGTCTCATCTGGGATCCCAGATCATTGTTCTTAAAAACCACCAAGGTGAGTAGAGCTGGTGCTACCTTCAACTCGGATCAGATCTTCATCAGCAGTAAATTAAGGGTATGGGAATGGTGGGAACAGAAAGGAAAACAGTCACCTACACTTCCCAAACAGTGACCGTGTTATTCTGACGTTATCTGGACAGCTTTTCATGGGCCTCCGTTATCACACATCCGTATCTACCTGTATCTCTAACCCACTGACGCTCACATACGTCGAACAGCTACTTACATCCTTCACCGTTTTTCAAAACCCTCACTAAGCTGCAACACTAGACATCTAGTCCTTCCCACACATGACTGCAAGTAACATACCCTGGACTCTTCTCCCGACACCAGATGACATGGCTGAACTCAGTGTCAGGGTCACCCTCTGCCTCATGTGCAGGCAGAGACGAAAACACTCACTGAGTGCTGCTGACCATAGATGAAATCCTCCAAAAACTGAGGCTAGCACTCCATCCTTCAATTCGTGACATTTGTGGAGAAACTGTGAATGAGAAATGTCACCCAAACTTCAGATTCAATGATGTCATCGAGTTCTTGTCCATGGGACAGAGTTTCAGTTGCTTTTATTCTGTGGTCATGATGAGTTTGTGCTGCTCCAGCCACACTTCTCACTGTCATTTAAGCAACCAGAGGAACACAAAGTTAACGCCACAAAGTAAACTGGCCTGGGAGGGAATCCCACTTGTGACTTTAGTTCTTGGAGTGGGTATGGGGTTCACCAACCCCATCCAAGCTGAGAGCTGAACTCTGACAGCCATTCTCAGTCTGTCTTCTGCTAGAGGCACTGGAATCAGCTCCGTCACACTCTTTTCTGGCCCCTTGTTTTCTAGAACATGCTCATGTCCCCTCTCCCGATCTAGTCTCTTGGTGCACCTGCAGCCCAGCTACTGCTCCAGCCTCTGTAAACCCCAGAATGACCCAAAGTCATCAACAGAAAAATCAGCGAATATGCTAAACAGCCCTAAAGAAAATGCTAGAAACTGCTTTCTGCAATTGGACATTTGCTGGCATGCTGGGTATCCCTGACATCTCCTGTGGGCATCCACAAGGCCAAACCAACCTAAGGGGGCATTTTCAGTCTTCTCAGAGAACAAACATACCACAAGGTCAAGAGATACCACAACATCCGAGTATTTTCTCTGTAAGACTTTCTTTCTTTCCCAAAATGGTGGAGCAGAAAAAGTATAAAGGTTCTAGCTAGTGGTTCTAGAATATCACATTTGAACATTCATATATTAACATTGCTGAAGTCTAAAAAATATATTATCGATGCCAGAAGGCTTATGTTTAGATAATATTGGTCATGGATTGTTTTTGCAATGTGAGTCTGTTTCTTCTCCCTTCTCTTCTAATCCACGCCCTTCTAATACTACTCTAGGATACTTCCTGTGGTCACGAGACGGGACATATGTGATAGTTTTAAAAATCACATTTGATTTTGACTTGGACACTATCCTTCCAGAGTCAGGCAGCACATAACACTGAAAAGAATTCTGCCAGGGACACCCAATATCGAGGTTTTAATGCAACTACTGTCACCAGATGTAGAACTTCAGGTCAATCACGAAGGGCTTCCATCGTTTTTCAAGTGTAAAACAAGGGCTTAGACTAGATTAGTTTTAAGGGGTCTGTCTTGCTTTCTCTTTTGCATGCTTGACTATAATTTCAGTATTTGTCATTAAAACTGCTTTGAGGGTCATTGCCTTGCTAGACTCTGGTGTGGTATGTGCTCTTTGAGCTATGACTGTCACCACAGCTCCTGGCTTTGGCCCCTCCCCCACCTTGGGGAGGTGAATTTTATCTCTCCCTTCTTTTTCTCTAATTTACTTTTAAATAAACTTTTCTTCCTTTGCCTCAAAACAAACAAACAAACAAAAAAACTGCTTTGAGTAGCTCCTGGGAACTTTCTCACAGTCTTTACAAAATGCAAAAAGTATCACACCATAGATGATTTTAAGCTACCCGAAGAAAAGCCATATAAGGTTCAATATTTGGAAATGTCAGGCGTCTAGTTGGCATTTAGGGCTTACTCATAGTAACAACAGTAAGTGTAAACAAGTATTTAACGTAAATGATCAAGAAATAGCTCAAGAGCATCGCATCAGAAATGTTTGTCTTTTCAATAAAATTTACTGTGATATCAAGAAGGAAAAGCTTCAGACAATCAACAAATACATAACTGAAAATTATAATATAGTTGTGCCACAAAACCATTATTTAATATCTCTGCTTTGATTTCTATACAACTGGGAGCAAAAAAACCACGAGTGTCACTATACAACTGGGAGCAAAAAAACCACGAGTGTCAGTGTGTCTTTCTCAGCTGGGCCTCCACTGAGAATTGTTAATGAACTCGATGTCAATACGAAAGGAAGAAGCCAATACAAATGAATAGCCTGGTGGTCTCAAGGGGGCCAGGGCCTGGCTGTGTTGCACAACATAAATCCCATATAAGGTCTTCAGTCAGTTAGCCCTTGCAGAGGGCTCAAGCCCATTCTTGGTGACCCCTGGCTAGGCTATGGCAGAAACATTTGGATAGCAAGATTAAATTATGGAGAAATACACTTCCAAATTCTGGCAGAGTCTACAAACCAGCACTAGATCTTAGGAATCCATTAGTCAACGAGCATGCCACTCAATACTTCTTTTCTCCTATGTTCTTTAGGGGCCTTAGATAATGCATGCGGATTAATAAAGGGAAATCACCTCCTCTACCTTTCATGATCTCAAGCCAATTTCCTGCTCTTGCTATTCTTTCTTTTTATATTCCTGAATCCATTCCCAAGGCAAAGGCCTTGATTCAGCTGCTGGTCAGTGATTAAGGAGATGATTGCCGCTCCTCATTACTTGGGATCTGGGGTCTTTCCCCTTCGATCTACTGATCCCAATAAAATCCCAATTCACATTCTTCCACTACTATCACCCTCGGAAAACAGTCCAAACTTCCTGGTATTATATCCAAGGACATTCAGTAGTTGAACTGTGATCATCTGTTTAAAAGCCCCCACAGGAGAAATCCTTCGCCCCAGCCAAACCTGCAGCAACTCCTTGGATGGGGCATGCACAGTCCTGTCTTCATTCAAGCTGCTTCTGCAGCCTGAGGCACCCTTCCTCTTCAACTCCTTGCCTTCATGGAGAACTTTAATGCATTCTGTTAGACGTGGTCCAAGGTTCTCTGCAACTAAAATCGCAACAAACCATATGTTGATGTTTTGTCAGCTCCTTCAGGTAAGGACCCCATTATATTCATGCTTGTTCCCAACTTCAGATTTCATCTCCTACTATTCTCCCTGACCTATTTCTATGCTTGGTCATGCACCATCTCAGAACCTTTCCTCTGGCTACTAACTTTGCCTAGATAGCCCTCCCCTGTCCCCACACCCTGTCCTTCAGAGAACTGGCTCGTTTACCATTCACACCTCAGCTCGCATGTCACCTCTGCAGAAAGGCGGTTTCTGCAGTTCCAGGTCGAAAACAGCCCCACTCCATTCTCCTAATCTTTCCCTTCTCACACTGTTTTATTTCCTCTGAAGCATTTGTCACATGGGAAATGACCTCGTTTGCCTCCATGTTTGTGTCTTGTCTTCTCCAATTCTCGCCCCCTTCACTAGAACACATTCCCCGGCCCAGGAGGCAGGGCCTCGTCTCCTTATTCACTTATGTAGCTCTAGGTGCCTACAGTCATGTCTGGCACAGCGTAGGTATCAATAAACACCTCTGGGGTGAACATGTTGGATGCAGAGTTTGAGCCTGGGAAAACGGGCATAAACAGGAATCTTGGATGAAGAGGTTTCCCAGTGAGTCTTATACAAGCAAAGCATCCTAGTCAGCCTCCCTGTCTTCCTACCTCTCTAGCAACTATGCCATGGTGATTATGTGAATGTTAACTTTCGTCTTTGCAGACATTCTTTGCACTTTAATCACGAGTCAAGGCCTAACCTTTTAAAGGTCTTTTAGAACACAGACACTGGAGCCAAAGTGTCGAGTTTCAGATCCAAGCTGTGGCCAAGTACAGTCTTGGGAACACAGTCCACCTTCTCTGTGCCTCAGTTTCCACATTTACAAAATGATTCCTGCCCTGTGGAATTCATGCGATGATCACAAGAATATGTACAAAACACCCGGCACAGGACCAGTCATAGTAACTGCCGTATACATGCTAGACATTAATTCTGGTTGTTTTCCGACACATGGAGACAAGACACAATCGGCAAATTCAAATAATAGGAAATTGAATGTGATGCAGAAAGTATATGTGACAGAGAAGTGAGAGCAGCTGGGCATGTGTCCTGGAATTCAAAACAATATAATTTATTAATTTTACACGTAGATACGTGTAATGCACACATACATAGAAGAAACATGAAAGTTATCTAGATTGCCTCCATGATTTTGTGTTGAATGTTACAAATTTTATTTTAAAATAGTTTAACAAAATGCATCTTGCATCTTAATAATTTAAAATAAAATTCATTATATCAAAATTTCAAGCATTTAAAAAATTGTAAAAACCATGATTCAAGCAAATAATTCTGGGCTTTGAGATCCAGTAGGTAAACGTGATTTCATTTGTCTGTGAAGAATTTGCTCTGTTCCCTTCTGGTTTTTTCAAGGCTTTCAAAGGTGATCATTCCTTTTGGCAGCTGCAGCATATTCTTTTCTGCTTCCAGGATCTCCTCAGCTTCACCTTAAATAAAGCAGAAACACACAAAGTGACAACAGGGTCATCAGCGTTTTGTGAGGCCTGTTCCGACGCGGTGTGAGCTGAGTTCCCAAACCTCACAGTCAAACATTCCACCTGTTTTCCTCAAAGAGTGACACCCCTCCCAGAGGAACACGGGGATGAACTCTGGAAACTCATAAGCAAGTCACATGCTAAAGATGCTTTTGACAGGTGAGAGAAAGAACATCAAGTAAGTGACCTTTCTTTCCTTTGAGCCAAAGTCAAAATGGTCAGTATTCATTCTGTTTGGAGGGGTCAGAATGGTGAAGCCACAGAGCTCTCCTGCTGCCCTTTAGTATGCCATAAATGATAGCAGAGAAAATAAAGCGCACTAAAAATTCTAATTTTTCAGAAAAGCTCATCTTTGACCTGATATCACTTGTAAACAGTCAAAATAATATTAAATCTCTTTATTTTGTATACATACACACATACACATTTTAACAAACAATTTGTCTTTCAAACAGCTACACAATACAGTAATTTCTTGGACCCAGTGATATTTGGAAGCTTTGATTGTTAAAGATTAATTAGCACATTTTATTTTTTATTTTTATTTTTTTTGAGTTGGAGTCTCACTCTGTCGCCCAGACTGGAGTGCAGTAGCTGCTCCTGGCCACTGCAGCCTCGACCTGCTGGGCTCCGGCGATCCTTCCGCCTCAGCCTTCCAGTAGCTGGTACTACAGGCGCGCGCTACCACGCCCGGCTAATTTTTTTATTTATCGTAGAGATGAGGTCTTGCCATGTTGCCCAGGTGGGTCTCGAACCCACGGGCTCAGACAATCCACTCACCTCAGCCTCCCAAAGGGCAGGATTACAGGCTG